CATTTCACTAAGTTATAATAGCATATTGGCAATGTTCTGCATTCAAAGAAATATTAAAATTTTTTTTTAAACCTTCTTTTATCTGAACAATGTGTTAATAATCTCAGTACTTGGCTCAGCACCCATATTTCAGTGGGTAGAGCGCCAGCCACATACACCAGAGCTGGCAGGTTCTAACCTGGCTTAGGCCTGCTAAACAACAATGACAACAACAACAACAAAATAACCAGGCATTGTGGTGAGTGCCTGTAATCCCAGTTACTCAGGAGGCTGAGGCAAGAGAATCACTTAATCCTAAGAGTTTGAGGTTGCTGTTAGGTGTGACACCACAGCACTCTCCTGAGGGCGACATAGTGAGACTTTGTCTCAAAAAATAATCATCTTAGTACTTCATGTTCTTTTATATAAGCTTTTATGTATCCTACAAATGTATCCCAAAATTTTTGTACTATCTTTTATCCAGGGAAAAAATATTTGAGAACCTGCTATAACTTAACTCACTAGATTCCCATCTGACTCACTGGAATTATTTTTCCTTTTTTTTTGGAGACAGAGTCTTACACTGTGGTTGGGTAATATGCTGTGGCATCATCGTAGCTAATAGCAGCCTCAAACTCCTGGGTTCAAGTGGTCCTCCTGCCTCAGCCTCTTGAGTAGCTGGGACTACAGGCAACCACCACAAACCCTGGCTATTTTTCTATTTTTAGTGGAGATGGGGGGGTCTCACTCTCACTTAAGCTGGTCTCAAACTCCTGAGCTCAAGGGATCCTCCCCCCTCAGCCTCCCAGAGTGCTAGGATTACATGCATGAGCCCTCACACCTGGATATGAAATTCTTTTTTTGTTTGTTTGTTTGTTTTTTGCAGTTTTGGCTGGGGCTGGGTTTGAACCTACCACCTCCAGCATATGGGGCCGGCGCCCTATTCCTTTGAGCCACAGGCGCCACCCTGGATATGGAATTCTTTTTTTTTTTTTTTTTTTGAGACGGAGCCTCAAGCTATCCCCCTGGGTACAGTGCCATGGCATAGCTCACAGCAACCTCCAACTCCTGGGCTCAAGCGAGTCTCCTGCCTCAGCCTCCCAAGTAGCTGGGACCACAGACGCCCACCACAACTCCTGGCTATTTTTTTTTTTTTTTTGGTTGCAGCCATCATTGTTGTTTGGCGGGCCCGGGCTGGGGATCGAACCTGCCATCTTAGGTGTATGTGGCTGGCGCCTTAGTCACTTGAGCCACAGGCGCGGAGCCAATATGGAATTCTTAATGAATTTATTAAAGTATCTTTGAAGAATTTTGAGAAAAGGTTTAAAAAAAAAAAGAAAGAAATCCGAAAACATTTCTTTGAATTCTAATCAGATCCCACTATGAAAGTAAATGGCTTTAAATTAAAGAAGGCATAGTGACCCAGACAGTAGCAATAAGTAGCCAAAGTCTTACCAGACAATGACCCTCAACTTTGGTGTAATCCTTGTTCAGTATTTTTTATAGTATTTTTGATTGTTTTTTATACACTATAATATGCCAATCTATTCCCCCCATTTAAAGCAAAGCATAAACATTTTCAAATTAGTAAAACTCTCTCTAAATATCCTTTTAATGACTGTCTGGTAGCCCAGGACATGGGCACAGGGTTACTCCCCCTTCTCCTTCTCCTTGGCGGAAGTGGAAAAGCATGCTAAATGGCCACAGAATGTTGGAGAACACAGTTAATGTGACCAGAGTATGGAATTTAGGTATTTTTTGTCATTTTTTTTTAAGACTGAGTCTCAAGCTGTCACCCCAGGTAGAGTGCTGTGTCATCATCATTGCTCACAGCAACCTCAAACTCTTTGGCTCAAGTGATCCTCTTCCCTCAGTTTTTCTTTTTTTTTTTTTTTTTAGTTTTTCTAATTTTTTAGTAGAGATGGGGTCTCACTCTTGCTCAGGCTGGTCTCAAACTCCTGAGCTCAGGCAATCCACCGATCCTGGCCTCCTAGAGTGCTGGGATTATAGGCGAGAGCCACCTCATCTGGCCTGGAATTGAGAATTGCACTGGAGATAATGACAAGAGGTTGGCAGACAGGGAAATCGGGTTCTGAAGACTGAGGATAGTAGTTTGAAATTACAGTTGAGACCAGGAAGAAACTGAAAGGGGAGTGACAGGTTTGCTTTTCAGATCGTTTGGCAGCGGTATGAAGAAAGAAGTTCAGTTGGCAGACCACCTTAATACAGAAAAAAATAGTGAGTTAGGACTAAGAAGGTCCTCACGTAGGGCTAATTCTTTGCCCCAAATAATCTACTTTTGTGTGTGTGCTTCATGGTCAGTCACTTCAAGTACACATCAAGGACATTATATGAAGAGAACACACGGGAACTCAGTTGCTGAGGCACACACGGTGAGAACCTGGCTCACACTTTGAATGAATTTGCCTCAGCCTTGACAAAAATCATTGCGATCACATTTTACTTTCACTAAGAACAAGTGCACTTTGAGACAGGAAAATTCGGAGGTGAGGAGAATGAGAACGCCGAGTGCAACTCTTCAAGATCATAGCTCACACCAACCTCCAACTCTTAGGCTCAAGCGATCCTATTGCCTCAGTTTTTCTATTTTTAGTAGAGACAGGATGTCTCCCTTTTTGCTCAGACTGGTCTTGAACTGGTGAGCTCAGGCAATCCACCCGCCTTGGCCTCCCAGAGTGCTGGGATTACAGATGTGAGCCACCACACCAGCCCCTAAGAAGGAGAAAATTATGATGATCCACATCATACAATGTACATTTGACATCTTGCTTTTTTTTTTTTTTTTTTTGACAGAGCCTCAAGCTGTCCCCCTGGGTAGGGTGCCATGGCATCACGCTCACAGCAACCTCCAACTCCTGGGCTCAAGCGAGTCTCCTGCCTCAGCCTCCCAAGCAGCTGGGACCACAGGCACCCGCCACAATGCCTGGCCATTTTTTGGTTGCAGCCATCATTGTTGTTTGGCAGGTCCGGGCTGGGGATTCGAACCCGCCACCTTAGGTGTATGTGGCTGGCGCCTTAGCCGCTTGAGCCACAGGTGCCGAGCCTGACATCTTGCTTTTAATCCTCATAGCTCTTGGTCATGGCATTATGGGCATTCTACAAACGAGGAATCCACAGACACGGGGAGTTTGAGTCTAGATCAAGCCCAGATCCATGGTTTTTCAAAATGTGATTTTGTCTTTGAGTGGATAGGTATGAAGAGGCCTTCCTGGGAACCACGTTTCCCAGACTTAGAGCAGAATGTAAATGCCTTAAGGCACAACTGTGATTGATTTTCTCTTTTCCAGCAGAACCATGATATTGAAGAGAAGAAAAAGAAGATCGTTGTAGAAACCTATAAGAAAACGTGAAGGAATTTTGTAGAGCTGAAGAGCAAGTGCCTGAGAAAGAAATTTACCCAAAGGATGGTTTGAAAGGTGAGGAGAACCTGCCGATATGAAAAAACTAAGCAATAAACAGCCAGGTGTTATGGCGGATGCCTGTAGTCCCAGCTACTAGGGAGGCTAAGGTAAGAGAATCACTTAAGCCCAAGAGTTTGAGGTTGCTGTGAGCTGTAATCACCTGGCACTCTACTGAGGGTGACATAGTGAGACTGTCTCAAAAAAAAAAGAAAAAACTAAGCATTACCACACGGAACGCAGGCGTCCAGAACTGAGATTCAAATGGCCAAGCTGATAAGAAAAGGTGGCATCACCTGTGTCCCTGTGGAACCCAACTGTCATTTGTCCTCAGGATCAGAGATATCAGTGATGCAGCACAAAATCTGAACGGTGTTGCCGCTCCTTTGCTTCTTCAGATCTTCAATGGTAATTTTGTTAAACTCAACATGGCTTCGGTTACACGCAGAGAATTGTTGAAGCATATATATTGCAGGGGGAAACCCAAAACCAAAATCAGTATCAATGAACTGATCTACGAGTGTGGTTATGGTAAAATCAATACGAAGCGAATTGCTTTGACAGATAATTCCTTGGCTGCTAGATCAACCTCTTGGCAAATATGGTCTCTATCATCTGACTGAGGGATTTGTTTCACGAGATCCATACTGTTAGAAAACGCCTTAAAGAGTCAAACAACTTCCTTGACCTTCAAATTACTTCCCCACAAGGTGACTCAAGAGCCAGACCACCAAGTTGGTAGAAGGTGGAGAAAAGACCAGATCAACAGTCGTACTAGACGGCTGAACTACAAGGTGTCTACCATTATTTTTGAAATCGGGTCAGTTAATAAACAGTCACCGCTTTCAAATTGGGAGAAGCAAGAACCAACACAAAATTTGACTGATTCCTTCAAGGCCAGAATAGACCACCTTTGGCCTGGACGAGACTTCGAAATAGAGGGCGATACCATCATCTTTTATGCTGGCTCATGACTGTTGACAGGTGATCCTTTTCTCTTTAATACGGAAAGGACAAACAGCAATTATGGAAAACAGTGTCAAAACCGTAGGGGGACACGCCCCAAGGAGATGAATGCACTGATGGAAACCCCCAGGGTGCGGGGCAGAGCCCGAGCATCTGAACCCCCACAGCAGGCGCTTTCTGACTGAGAATATCGGGAAACCACTGCACGTTTTCCGGCGGATCAATTTGCGAGCCCAGTGCCTGCACCGCGCCCGCAGCGTTCGCGCGCTGAGCCGCTGCCCCGAGTCCCGGCTGCGTGCGCCGAGCCCCGCCCCCGACACGCCCCGTCCCGCCGGACCCGCCCGACCCTCGTGTTCACTGGCAAACTTTCGCGCCTGCGCCCGCGGGAACTGCGGCTGTGGGCGGAAGAAGTCGCGCATGCGCTGATGGGACAGCTAGGTCTTCCCCCCGCCCCTTTTCTCTGGGGCTGGGTTAGCACGAGGGAACTTCCGGGTCGAAGGGTTTGTTTCCGGAGAGCGGAAAGGCTGAAAGGCGGTGGCTAAGCTGGAGGCGACTTTGGTCCTGGGTGGACAAGGTTGTAGCCATGGACAGGTCAGTGTTGGTGGTGACAGCTGTGTGTGCGGTCTTGTTCCTCTCGCCTTTTGGCGGAATGAAACAGGGTGAAACCACACTCCGCGAAGGAGCTGCGGAGGTCCCGGGGCTGCCTCCGCGACACCTTCCCCCTCCCCGCCTGGGCGATGCGACGACTGATGGAGGAAAAGCCGCGCGGGTTGGTGGCGAGAACGACAACTCCCCGTGTTCTCGGTGAACTGCGTTCTGTTAGGCGCTCTCGGGAAGCATCATTGTTCGCTCCTGGGATGGGCGGGGTAGGTGGTGGCCCGGCATTCGAGATTCGAAGAGCCCAGGCTGAGGTCACAAGCCAGCTGGTGACGAGGCTGGGACCTCAGCCCAGACTCTGACTCCAGGTGCCACCCCGGTGCCCACTCCTGGGAGCAGGGCACTGTGCTAGCTTCCTGCGACACTCATTAGTTATTCAAGGTAATCTTGGGGGATTAGTGATATAACGGAGGAGGCAATGTAAGTTGATATGTGTCTTGGAGCAATTAAGTCTCCCTGTTACGATAACTAGCAGGAAGATCTCTCAAAGAAGGTAACTTTCCATCTGGTCTTTGAATAATAATAGTGCATCATTACTACTCAGAAACATTGAGTGCCAACTGTGTGACGACCATTGTACTAAAGGCTTTGAATATGCCTTATTAGCTTGTTTACGATCCTATGAGGATAGGTACTGTCATGCTCTTTTCATAGACCATACTGAGGCTATAAGAGATTAAGGAACTTGCCCAAAGTTAAGAAGCTAATAAACGGAAGAACCAATTTGCCAACACTAGCCTCCATGAGGCTGTTTGAAGAGAAAGTAGGTGCAAATGTACGCCTCTTATAAAGCCAACAACATGCTGAAAGGTGTGAGGATATTTAAAAAAGCATATGCTTTATGTAGCTGGAAGATCACATACACACACACAAGGCTGATCCCCTAAACTGGGATCGTGTTGTAAGTATCTTGCTAGGAAATTTGAACTTGATTCTATAGGCGACAGAGAGCTATTTGAAGGTTTTAAGTGGAGGAAAAGTGTATTAGATTCTTGTCTTAAAACACAGGTCTTCTAATCCACACAATTTAGTTTCTAGACCTTCAAGTGAGAATGACAGGGAGGAGTAGGACAGGGGAGACACTGGGGAGAAATAACTTGGTTATTTCCAATTTACATACTAGAATTCTTTTACTTACCCTCCCATCTCATTTGTTCTTTTTTTTTTTTCATGTGTTACATGTCCAGTCTATGTAAATTAGGTCAATTTAAGGAGGTGGTCAGTGTAAGTAGCTGGTACGCTATGGAGGTTTTCCTGTGTTTTGGAGACTGCAGACAATCTTTTAAGAGAGAGTCTGGCAATTAGGTAATTCTTCAGTCCAACAGGAGAAAGATTTACCTTTTTGAAGCAATTACCTAAAACAACATAGATTCCAAGTGTTGAAATAATAATTCCTTAGGAGAAAATAACATATCGCTAGAATGTCAAAGAAGTCTTTGTGTGGGTAAGATTTGAGTGGCACTTTGAGGAGTAAGCAGGATTTGGAACTAAGAGGGCATTCTCAGCAAAAAAAAAAATATGAGCCTTGGCTGCTGGAATGACCTGTACTATAACTCAGGGTCCTTTGTGCTAATCATGATGATACAATTCTCTGTAAACGTCACATTCTCATTCACATGAGCATGATTATACTGTTTTTAGAAGTGGCTTTGGAGAGATTTCATCTCCTGTGATCCGGGAGGCAGAGGTGACTCGGACTGCTCGGAAACAGAGTGCTCAAAAAAGAGTGTTAAGTATCCTTTGCATTTTAAGCATCAAAGTAAAAATTGAAACTTATTTGGGATCGGCATCAGAAAATTTCTTTTTATGAACGGTATTAAATATTAGTTATAGAATCCTATAGGAATCAGGTTTTCTTCACTCCACAAATGTTATTTTGTAAACACAATGCTGAAATTTAATGAGATTAAAATTATGTTTCCCTCACTGTGCATGGTGTCTCACACCTGTAATCCTAGCGCTCTGGGAGGCCTGAGCCAGAGTGAGGGAGACCTCGGTTCTAAAAATAGCCAGGCATCGTGGTGGGTACCTGTAGTCCCAGCTACTTGGGAGGCTGAGGCAAGAGAATCGCTTAAGCCCAAGAGTTTGAGGTTGCCTTGAGCTGTGACACCATGGCATTCTATCTAGGGTGACAAAGTGAGACTCTGTCTCAAAAACAAAAATTATGTTTCCCTGAAATTAAGGATATTACATTTTACTGATATTCTGTTATGGTTAGTATCTGCTGAGACGATGTTTTCCTTTTTTAATTGGAAATCTGACTAAAAACTATTTCAATGTGATCTAAGACTGACATCTGGGAAATGAAATGGCCGGTGGAATTAGTTACTCTCTGCACAGACAAATGATAGCCATAAAGTATCTTGTACTTGAAACATGTTTATATAATTTATATAGTAAAAATATGGTTGATTTCAACTTTAATGATCTCTGTTTTGCTTGGAAAACTTGCCTTAACTCTTCCTACAGTTCGGGCATCCCAAGAGGATAATTTTGGTAATATCACACCAAAAAACCAGGTTATCCCTCGAACTCCCAGCTCATTTCGACAGCCTTGTAAGATTTTTTGCTTTTAAAGCTTTTTTTTTTTTTTTTTTTTTTTTTGGTAGAGACAGAGTCTCACTTTGTTGCCCTTGGTAAAGTGCTATGGCATCACAGGTCACAGCAACCTCCAACTCCTGGGCTTAAACAATTCTCTTGCCTCAGCCTCCTGAGTAGCTAGGACTACAGGTACCTGCCTCAACTCCCAGCTATTTTTTGGTTGCAGGTCAGCCAGGGATGGGTTTGAACCTGCCACCCTCGGTATATGGGTCTGGCACCCTACTCACTGAGCCACAGGCACTGCCCGCTTTTAAAGCTTTTAATAATAATTATAATAGCAGACTCGACGTCCATACCTCAGTGAGTAAGGTGCTGGCCACATAAACCAAGGCCTGGTGGGTTTGAGCCTGGCCTGGGCTTGCTAAACAACAATGACAACTGCAGTCAAAAAATAGCTGGGCATTATGGCAGACGCCCATAGTCCCAGCTATTTGGGAGGCTGAGGCAAGAGATTTGCTTAAGCCTAAGAGTTTGAGGTTGCTGTGAGCTGTGATGCCATGGCACTCTACCAAGGGTGACATAATGAGACTCTGTCTTAAAAAAAAAAATTATTATAATAGCAGCTACCATTTTACACGTAATAAATGTATTTGGTTATAATATCAATCGTTAGATGTAAGTCATAATGAGTGCAGTTATTATTTGTAAAACCCTTGTCATGAGTAAGGCACTGTACTTTACAGTAACTGTGATGTAGGTAATATTAACTATCAAAACTAGAAGCATAATTACAGAAGCTAGTTAATGTAAGCAATAAGTATGTAAATACTGGAACTAGGATTCAATGATTATTTACTCCAGAGTTGATGCCTGCTATGCCGTATTACCTTGGTGTGCTTTATGAAATCAGAGTGTGAACAACCCATTAACTCGTTAGGGTCTTGAACTGCTCATTATGTTGTAATGGAAGCATCTGTATTTATAGTGTGATAGGATAAGTAGTACCAAGAGCTCAAATTTAGAAAAATAAATTAAATCTTTGTATCATGTTAACAGGTAAGGTATTTATTTGGTTAGAATTTAATTAAATACAATAATTTCTTCTTTGTTATTTGCCTACTTTATTTTGATAGTCAGTGTTCATGCACCTTGAGTTCTTTCACTAACCTCTTGTTTGTAGTTACCCCACCAAACCGAAGCCTACTAAGGCAGCCAGATATTTCCTGCATTCTTGGAACAGGAGGGAGGTCGCCCCGGCTTACACAGTCTTCAGGATTCTTGGGAAATCTGTCCATGGTATGTAGAAAAATAAGACTGAAAATTCTTATTTTTTTATAAGAGCATAATATTTTTGACGTAAAAGCCTTCTAATGAAAATTGAAGTCATATCATAACTAATTTATGTGGATTGAAATGATTAATTAAACATTTAAAAACCTTAACACATTAGGCATCTCATGTCACACATGGAAACTATGACACCAGCAACATTTAGATGCAGATAGAGTGTTTTAATCTGGCAGTTTGCTGACCAGAAGAAATATAGTCTGTGGTCAGTTGCTGATGGCTATAAAAACTAAGCTCTGTTTTGAAGCATAGTAGAGTTAGGAATTCACGAGTGATAGATGAAGACTGTTAGGAAGAAGAGTACAGTGGGTTAAAGAGATAAGAGAAAGTTGGACAAGTAGATGAGTACAGTATTGAAAATACTGGAAGAAATGTTGTCTGAACTGTCATGCAGAATGTGAGAAGTGCTCCCCAGAAAAAGAATCATGTCTGAGAAGGAAACAGAAGAGCTTGTTGGAGTACTGGAGTACTATGACATCTTTAGTACCCAAAACAAGACAAAAATGGTGCCCCTGTCTTTGGCTCTGTGCTTATTCAAAAAGCAAAGAGATTTTTATGTTCATGCAAAATTGTCTAAATTAGGCTGATTTTGAAGGATGGTTTTTGTGTTAAACCTCTCTCTGTCACAGAAGGTGAAATCAGTTGTTAAAATTTATTATTGTGGGCCCTAGTGAGGTGGCTCACACCTGTAATCCTATCACTGTGGGAGGCCCAGGCAGTAGGATTGCTTGAAGTGAGGAGTTAGAGACCAGCCTGAGCAAAGCTAGACTGTGTCTACTAAATATAAAATTAGATGAACATGGTGGTAGGCACCTATAGTCCCAGCTACTCAGGAGGCTGAGGCAGAAGGATCACTTCAGCCCAGGAATTTGAAGTTGTGGTGAGATAGGCTGAGGTGTGGCACTCTAGCCCAGATGACAGAGCTGAGACTCTGTCTCAAGGAAAAAAAAAAAAAGAATTTATTCTAGTCTTGTGGATTTTCGCATTGTTAATATCTATTTTATTTTTATTTTATTTGTTTATTTTATTTTCTTTTTTTAGAGACAGAGTCTCACTTTGTCACTCTCAGTAGAGTGCTGTGACGTCACAACTCACAGCAACCTCCAGCTCTTGGACTTAGGTGATTCTCTTGCCTCAGCCTCCTGAGTAGCTAAGACTACAGGCACCCACCACAACAACCCAGCTATTGTTTTCTTGCAGTTTGACTGGGGCTGGCTTTAAACCCACCGCCCTCAGTATATGGGGCCAGCGCCCTAGTCACTGAGCCAAAGTCACCACCCAATTTAATTTAATTTAATTTAATTATTTTTTTGAGACAGTCTTACATTGTTGCCCTTGGTAGAGAGGTGTGGCGTTATAGCTCACAGCAACCTCAAATTCTTGGGCTCAGGTGATCCTCTTGCCTCAGCCTCCCAGGTGGGTGGGACTATAGGCGCCTGCCCTAGTGCCTGGGTATTTTTCAAGACTGATCTCACTCTTGCCCAGGCTGATCTCAAACTCCTGAGCTCAGGTGATCTACCTGCCTCGGCCTCCCAGAGTGTTGCGATTACAGGCATGAGCCACTGTGCCCCGCCCCTGCAGTGTTAATATCTAAACAGTGATCCAGTCATTCAACAATTTTACTTTGCTTATGAAACTTGTTATTTCTGCAGTGTTTTCTTATTCTACTAAAAATATAAGTGAATTGGGCCTTGCTCTTGCTCGGGCTGGTCTTAAACTCCTAAGCTCGAGCAGTCCACCCACCTGAGACTCCCAGAGTGCTGGGATTACAGGCATGAGCCACTGCTCCCAGCCTATTGCTAATTTTAATATCAGCCATGATAGGTGTTCTTGGATATGGGTTGCCCTAAAGGAAGTAAAGGTTTTTGCTATGTTAGTAGTTTTACCATAGGTCTGCCTATCAAGATTTGATTGTGGACCAAAGTATTTTTCTGAGAGTAAAATGTCACGATTTAAGATACTCAGTTTTATTCTTATACTAATAAAGCTAAGTACTTGGACGTGAACTATTAATGTGTAAAAGCTGCAAGTGAAAGTGTCCTACCCCATAGTTACTCTGCATGAATACTCAGGGTCTCAGTGTCTATCAGTAGCTCTTTTTCCTTGGGGAGACTATTTTTGGGTTTGTTTGTTTGTTGTTTTTTGTTGTTCTTTTTTTGAGGGATAGTCTTTGAGTATGACCTGGGCTAGAGTGCAGTGGCATGATCATAGCTCACTGTAACCTCAAATTCCTGGGCTCAAGTGATCCTGTTGCCCCAGCCTCCCAAATAGCTGGAACTACAGGTGTGCGCCACCACACTAGCTAATTTTTCTATTTTTTTGTAGAGACAGGATCTTGCTCTTGCTCTTGCTCAGGCTGGTCTTGAACTTCTGGCCTCAAGTGATCCTCCTATCTCAGCTTCCTCGAGTCCTAGGATTACATGCTTGAGCCACTGTACGCAGCTGGGGAGACTCATTTAAAGATAAAATTATTGGCTCGGTGCGTGTGGCTCAAGTGGCTAGGGCGCCAGCCACCTACACCTAAGGTGGCGGGTTCGAATCCCCAGCCTGGACCCGCCAAACAACAATGATGGCTGCAACCAAAAAATAGCCAGGCATTGTGGCGGGCGCCTGTGGTCCCAGCTACTTGGGAGGCTGAGGCAGGAGACTCGCTTGAGCCCAGGAGTGGGAGGTTGCTGTGAGCTGAGATGCCACAGCACTCTACCCAGGGGGAACAGCTTGAGGCTCTGTCTCAAAAAAAAATAAAGATAAAATTATTATTGTTGCTCTTGCCTAGATTTTAAATCAAGATTTTTTTTTAAATCTTTTTTTTGTTTGTTTGTTTGAGACAGATCTCACTTTGTCACCCTTGGTGGTAGAGTGCTGTGGTGCCATAGTTTACAGCAACCTCAAGCTCTTGGGCTCAAGCAATTCTCTTGCCTCAGCCTCCTAAGTAGCTAGGACTACAGGCACCCACCACAACGCCTGGCTGTTTTTTTTTTGTTTGTTTGTTTTTGGAAGAGACAGTCTCACTTTATCATCCTCAGTAGAATGCTGTGGTGTCACACAGCTGACAGCAACCTCTAACTCCTGGGCTTAGGCAATTCTCTTGCCTCAGCCTCCATAGTAGCTGGGACTACAGATGCCTGCCACAATGCCCAACTATTTTTTGTTACAGTTTGGTCAGGGCCGGGTTTGAACCCGCCACCCTCAGTATATAGGGCTGGGACCCTACCCACTGAGCCATAGGCGCCACCCATGCCTGGCTGTTTTTTAAAGAGGTGGTCTTGCTGTACCTCAGGCTGGTCTTGAACTTCTGAGCACTCTTCCCAGACTGCCAGGATTACAGGCATGAGCCACTGTGCCTGCCCTAAAAAGTTTTTGTTACGGGTATTTTCAAACATGTTAAAAAGTAGAATAGCAGAATGGGGCTCCATGGTCCCATTGCCCAACTTCAGCACCTGCCAACATGTAGTTTGATCTATACCCACATGAACTTTTCTAGCATTCCTTTGGAATTCCATGATATCCCATTTCATCCATAAATACTTGATTCCATATTTGTGATACATAGTAATATGCTCTCCTTAATATAAGTACAGTACTAATAAAACACACACACACACACACGTCTTTTGTTTCAAATAACCATATTATACGTACTCCTATATATTTCATTAAGTCTTCAGATTTCCTTAGTCATATTAAATTTTGTTTATTTAAACCAGGATTCAAACAAGGTCAGCGCTTTGCATTTGTGTGATACATCTCTTACATCTTTTAGTCTATTAGTTCCTCCCTAATCCTTGTTTAAGAGCAACTAGGTCATTTGTCTGGTACAATTTCTGAAAGCTGAGAAATTAAGGTGAACTTAGATAGGACTTTATTAGCTTGAATTTTATTACATGTGAACATTTTACAAAATGTTACTGGCTTCTTCTGAAAGCATAGACTAGTACAAAGAAGAACATAATTAACAAAATATAATTTCCTATTATTTATTTATTTTTGAGACAGAGTCTCACTATGTCCCCCTGGGTAGAGTACTATGACATCACAACTCACAGAAACCTCAAACTCGGGCTTAAGCGATTCTCTTGCCTCAGCCTCCCAAGTATCTGGGACTACAGGTGCCTGCCACAATGCCCAGCTATTTTTTGTTACAGTTGTCATTGTCATTTAGCTGGGTTCGAACCCACCATCCTCAGGGTATGTGGCTGGTGCCATAACCACTGTGCTATGGGTACCGAGCCAAAACATAATTTTCTTAACAAAATAACCTCTCTGGCTGTCTTTTAAAAATGAAAAACACAGACATGGAAACAATTTTTTAAACCTCCTTCAATATTATTTACTCAATGGCAATAACACCATCACTTTCTTTCTCTCTCTCTTTTTTTCTTTTTCTTTTCGTCTACCCTTCCTCCCCCCTTCCTTCCTTTTCTTTCTTTTTAAGGTGACTAACCTGGATGACAGTAACTGGGCAGCTGCGTTATGGCCACAGCGCTCTGGGCTCTTCACAAATGCAGAGCCCCACAACGTAACAGAAGATGTAACTCTCAGTGCTGTCATGTTACATGAGGATGATCCCGGAGAAGCTGGTAAAGTGGCTTCAAGCTTTGTGACAAAGTAGCTTTTCATTTTATTAAGATCAAAGAAACTGTTTCCTGTTCCTGAATGTCATTATAATGTCTTTTCCTCCCTCCCCGTTTAGCATGTGTGAGAGGGGCAGGTGGCTTACTCAACAGAAATTTGTTTTCTCACCACACAGGTGTAGGTGGAGTTGGCTCTTCCTGAACCTCTCTCCGCGCTTGCAGATGGCCGTACTTGGTGTCTTCACAGGGTCTTCCTTCTATCCATGGCCTATTTTCATCAAGCTGATTAGTTATGGGCATGCCTACACTTTTTTTTTTTTTTTTTGAGACAGAGCCTGAAGCTGTCACCCTTGATAGAGTGCCATGGCATCACAGCTCACAGCAACCTTCAACTCCTGGGCTTAAGTGATTCTCTTGCCTC